AAAAATCACTTCTGTGGTGGTAAACAGCCTGCTTCCCTATTTATAATGGTCTGGCCCTCTAGCAACTTCAGCGTGAAATTATAGCTAATTTGCCTACAAACGTCAGGTGGTCATAATAATCTGGCCACTCAGTGTATATGGAAAAGGATTTTCAGAGATCTTTATTACTAGATGCCCGGTGCATGAAAATTCATGCACTGGAGGGGTGTCCTTCAGCCCGACCTGCCTCCGCTCACAGTCTGGGAGTCCTCAGGGGCAGGAGATGACCTGGCGATCAGGGAAAGGCGATGCCCCAATCACACCTCTGTTGCTGCCACTGCCGGCAGCGCAAGCCTCGGGCGGCCCTGGGTGGCTGGGAAGCCACTATCTGAGGCTTGACTGTGCCTCCGGCCCGGCCTGTTTGGCTGGGCAGCCAACATCCAATTTTTGCCCGTGCCTCGGGCCGGCCCTGGGCAGCTAGCGGGCTGAGGGCGGGTCCGGCCACACTGTGTGCCTGCTACCCTCCCGGTGGGGCTGAAAGGACTGGGGGACTCCTGCGGGGCTATGGGACTGGGCGCTGCCATTTTGTGGCTATGGGTGCCGCCATCTTTGTGACGGTGTGACAGTCAATTTGCATAGTTCCTCTTTATTAGATAGGATTTTCTCTGAACCCATTCTTGTGGTCTTTTTAAAAGATTTAACTAATAAAATATATTTTGTATACTTACTCATGTGACTACCATTTCTGCTGTTCTCTATTCCTTACATTGATTTATATTTGAAAATATACTTTTCCTTCTGCATGAAGGACTTCATTTAATGTTTCCTTTAGTGTGATTTGGCTTACGATGAATATTTTCAGATTTGTGTATTTAAAACTTTCTTCTTTTGGCATTCATTTGCTAATGATTTAGGATTTCAAATAGATATTATTATGTGAAGAAATAACGTTATAGAAAAATTCTATGAATTTTAAAACATATTAATTTGAATAATCATTTATATACAATCTGGGCATAGACTAGATTCACTATTCCATAAAACTACCTCATGCTATTGCTTATCTTTATATTTCTGCTCTCCAATATATTATTATTTGTGGGAAGTACTTGTCTTTTCTCCTTTGCTGTTTTTTTTTTTCTTCCCCAAAATGTCATATAAATGGAATCATAGAGTATGTAAAGCTTTGAGACTGGCTTCTCTGATACAGCATTATGTCTTGGAGATTCAAGTTGTTGAATATGTGATTTCAGCGTTTGTTTTTTTTTCTTTTAGATCTCAGTTTTAATAAATTTTATTGAGACATAACTTACAATAAAATATTGCCATTTAAAATGTACAGTTCAATAATTTTTGATAAATGTATATACCTATGTAACCACATTAATATAGTCAATCTGTTTTTATTACCCTTGTGTACTCCTTTGTAGATATTTTTAAAAAATCTTTATTGTTCAGATTATTACAGATGTCCATCTTTCCCCCCCCTCCCCCCATTGCTTCCCTCCACTTGGTTCCCACCCCACCCCAGGCCCTCGCCATCCCACTGTCCACGTCCATAGGTACTGCATACATGCATATAAGATCTGTGTCCAACTCTTCCTGCACCCCCACACCCCCTTCCTCCTAAGAATCGTCAGTCTGCTCCATTTCCATGCCCCTGATTCTATTAAATTCACCAGTTTATTTTGTTCATCAGATTTTTAAAAAAATATATTTTATTGAGTTTTTACAGGGAGGAAGGGAGAGGGATAGAGAGTTAGAAACATTGATGAGAGAGAAACATTGATCAGCTGCCTCCTGCACTCCTACTGGGGATGTGCCCGCAACCAAGGTACATGCCCTTGACCAGAATCGAACCTGGGACCCTTCAGTCCGCAGGCCGACGC